TYMWTTTTTTTYSKTTTKRAWTTTYYWGKYTTTTTTTYYTTTTTTYYTTTYMAWYYTTTYYTTYMWTTTTTTTTCTTCTCGAACATATGAATTCTTCTTTCAAGTATACARGGATATTGGGATCACTCCATTGGTGCTTRGTCRGGTGWGTCKTGTTTGGATTGGTTCATGATGTGGGTGACAAAGGAAATAGGCTAAGGCTCAAAGTGGTGTGCAAAAGGKATAATAACAACATAAGGGGTAGGCTTAAGGCTAKTGMTTTAACACAAAAATGAGCAAACGATGGCCTTTATCATGTTTATKAGCATGTAGTTATCATGTAGTCTTAAGGAGAGARAAATCAAGTTCTAGAGATGCATATCTAGGCATGACGCAATCACMCAAGAAATGAATTTGAGACTAATATCAAGTGTTTAGTCTAAATAAGCTCAAAGTCTCACGGTGTTCAAAACTACCTCAAGTGATTAACAATAGTCTACTTTGACTGATATGCTACCACTAATCACTCTAAGTGCTATCAATCAATCTCAATCATGCTATACATGCATCCAAACTCATTGTCATCAACAATTTAAGCTCAATAAAAGCATGCTAACACATTGTYAAAAYGGACAAAGATCCTCATTTAAGCRCAAAATTTGCAAAAAGCAAAAATTTGACCCCTAAAACCATTTATATACCCAATTCATGCAAATAACCCCCACCCCCACACTTAATTCATACATTGTCCTCAAGGTATGCAATAAGTAGAGAACACTCTAAACGATTAAGGAAAAGGGAACAGAAAACTCCCCTGATTTGATGAGTGACCTCCCAATGTAAGAATCCGTGGAGATGGGCRCGTCTCTTCAAGCGTCCAACATTCGGGGTGAACCTGAAAACATAGAAATCTAATAGTGAAACTAGAGAATCTAAAAACAAAATAAATAACTGAAAGCAATAAATAACAAGAATTGGAAATTCGTGGGTTGCCTCCCACGCAGCGCCTTTCTTTTATGTCTTTGGCTAGACCATACTCAGTTCAATTCTTGTAGCTTGGCGTGACCAAAGCTACCCTTTCTAATTTCGGATCAATTGGTAATGGTGAACCTGCACGAAACGATCTTGGCATAAACAGTTAAACTTTGCCGAGTCCCCGGCAGCGGCGCCAAAAWTTTGACGGGTGTYGAGTCCGGCAAATAATAAAATTAAGCTTATTATCTCTAAAACACACTTGTAATAGCGATAAGTAGGGTCGTCTCCTCAGGGACTCGGTGTTAACCGTAAGTCCAAGACGTAAATGTGTGCAAATTCATTGACAATAAAACACTATATATAAAAAAGGGGGGGGGGGTTGGATGATTTATAAGCAACCTAAATATGCAAAATAAATTGGGAACTTTAAACAATAATATGAACGAGACTAGTAATGAGCATCAATCAACTAATCCTTTGGATTATATATCATCGACTCATTCAATCCATTTTCTCAAAAGAAACCACGTTGGTT